AAGCTCTCTCTACACTGTCCCCCATCAAACACTTCCAGGACAGGGACCACATGGAACAATGAAGGTGCTTTGATAGCTGGGTTGTCTATAACGTCATTAATGTCCCTTTGGGACCACAAGATATTGGATAGGATCGGGAAATTCTGGATTGCAGAAGTATAACGCATGCCCTAGATAGCTCCTACATATTGCATAGATCTCACTGTAACATTAATGTCTCTTGATCTGCTTTCCAGAGACCAGCATTTATGTCAAGCAACAATACTCAGATAACATCCGCTGGATCAGACAGGCTGCAAAGCACAACATGGTTAGTTAAGCCTGAAATGACCTCTTTCCCCTTTCCCCTGGAGACTATCGCGATCGCTGGAGATCATTCCCAGGACAATGAAAGCTCTTTAGCCCTCCCCACCTGTGATATCATCAGAATGGCCATTCCTGACTGGTAGTCCTGTGTATCATGTATGTGTTGCCTATTAATGTTCAAAGTTGCAGGGTGGACTGTGTGGTGAAGGGGCAGCAAAACCTGGGTTGTGAAGCAGTGATTAGGAGCAGGGACCTTGCCTGATGGTTTTCCTTTAGGAAGATTCAAGCTGGGAATCTTGTTCTCAGCTGCACGGGAACACAGACCCAACAGTTAAGGCCTGGATAATTCACGGATGCACTGGATGGTGTTCGGAGGGGAGGGAAGAGAGTTGAAGAAACTTGTATAACTTCTTCAACTTTTCAATTCACTCACAGTGAATTCACCAGGAATGACCCTGTTCCGCCTGTTAAACCTTGGGACATGGGATGTAGCAGGTTGCTCAGTGCAGTCAAGGGAACAGACTGTAGGGGGCAGTGATATTCTAATTAACATCATAGGAGGGACCCAACTGTAGCCTGCCTACGAAAGAAAAGCAAGAAATGTTATTCTCAGGATGAGACACGGCCTGCTATTCTCTATAATATACACAGGGACTGCTGTTCTCTATAATATACACGGGGCCTGCTGTTCTCAATAATATGCACAGGGACTGCTGTTCTCTATAATATACACAGGGACTGCTGTTCTC